AGGGTCATGGTTCCAGACCAGCTGGGCAAAGTCACAAAGAAACAGACTAAAACCAAAGGGCTGGGGCTCAGGTGGTGGAGTTCTTGCCTAGCAAGTGTGAGACCCTGAGTTCAATCCCTAGTACTACAGAAAAAGAAAGCCTAAATAAAAGAAGAAATACTTAAAAGGTGACAGTTCTACCCTGGTTGAACTGTAGATTCAAGGCAATTCTAATACATTCCATTAAATTTCCCATAGAAATTAAGAACACAGTTAAAACTGTATTCTTGGCAAAGAGCCAGAGATAATCCCACGCTCCTAAAGAATGCAGCAAAGACAAGAGGCCTTGGCTATGTAATAATTTGTCACTCGTTACTGTATAAACTATTGAGGCAGTGTGTCTTGGATTAAGGACAGATAAATGACCAATGAAACTGAATATAAAACCAAAACAACCTTCACATAGACAGAAACGTATTTTCTGCAGATCAATGAGGAACAATTAAACTACCTGATAAACAGTACTGACATGATTAACTCTCCACGTGGGGGAAATTGGTGCCTACTGTATACTGTTCACTAACCCACTCCAGGTAAGTTAAAAGTAACACAATAAAACTTTTAGAAGACAATATAGAAAATACCTTTTTTAAGATTTCATGGTAGGGGAAGAATTTCTTTTTTTAATTTTATTTTTGAATACATGATACAGAAAGTGTAAATTATAAAGGAAAGAATGATAAATTTAACAGCATTAAAAACTGAGAACTTCAATTTATCAGAAATACTACAAGAAGAATTCACTGGGTATAGTGACACATGCCTATAATCCTAGTACTCGGGAGGCTGTGAGGAAGGAAGATCTTGAGTTTGAGGCCAACCTGGGATACATAAGGAGACTCTGTCTCCAAGAAAAAAAAAAAAAAGACAAGCCTCAAATTACAGAAGATATTCATAACAACTGAAAAGGGATTTGATTCTAAGACACATAAAGAAAAAAATCTCAAAGGAAAAAGAAAATGAGCAAAAAAATCAGTGAGCATTTTACAATAGAGAAAACACAAATGGTCCACAAACATGAAAACTTCTCAGTTTCACTAATAATCAGGGAAATGAAACAAAATAACAATAAGATATCTTTTCCTATGCGTCATTTGCTCGTCACATGTCAAGTATTGTTGATTATGGGAATCCATGGGAATGGAAATGGAAAGAAATAAAAACTAGAAGCAGCCATCCCCTCACAGGTACAAGAATGCTCATTGCAGCATTTTCACAACAGCAAAGATTTGCAAGCAGCCTAGTTGTCCCTCACCAGTGTCACAGATAAATGGTGACCTGCTCAGATCACAGGACACAGCGTGACAGGGAAAATGAGTGAACTGCAGCTGCCTGCGTGGACCTGGGCGAGTCTCTGACACACAGTGCTCTGAGGATTAGCAAGCACAGAAGAGTAGGTACAGAAAGATGCCATCACTGTGCAGTTCAGACCCAGGCCCCAAAACCAATACAGACTGCTGTGGATACATCTAAGTATGGTGGTAAAGCCATTAAAAAAGGAGGTAAAGCACTGATGGGGTCAGGGTGAAAAGAGGGAGCTCTTAGGGAAAAGAAAACAGGCTTCAACAGTGCTGGGATATCCTACTTCATAAACTTGGTAGAGGGTACGTGAGTGCATAGTTTATTATCCTCTGAAATATATAAATATAGTTTATGTTTCCTCTCTATATAATGTACTTCACACTTAAAATGTACAAATAATGAATTAGATCACCTGCAGGAGCCTTTCTGACTCCCATTTTGAAACATCATAAAATCTAGTCTCATTTGAAAAGTTGAAAATCAAAAGAATTAAATGACAGAATCTAGACTCCCAGATCAGAGTGTGTCCTCAGTTACTGTCCACCCGCTTCATTTTATGAAGGCGCTCCTGAGAAGTCATGTAACTTTTGCAAAGTCACACAGCACCCGAGTGGTAGAACAGGACAGCAGATAAAGGCAGTGACCCACAAACAATGGCACATACTCCAGCTGTGTGCAAGGCCTCCTGCTAGGGACTCTATTTCCAGTGAGCATCCTTTCTGGTTTTTCTCAAAGCAGTTCTAACTTTGCATATCCTATTGTCCAACCATATGGTCTGCTTTTGTTTTTTTAATTAACAGACTTTATTTTTTGGATTCACAGAGTAATAACTATCCCTGAAGGACTAATTTCCATCAGCCCCTCACTGCAAACCCTCTCCATGGCCTTTCCTGTTTTTTGAAGGTCTGGCTCTGCTCAGCCTCCAGTACAACTGCTGCGCTGGTCCTGCCTGCTACTCACCTTCCATCCTGTGCTCCCCACCGTATTTCTAGGAACCCCCAAGATTCTTATCAACATTTACATCCTTCCGACCAAAAGCTTCCTCCTGCAGCTCCTTGGGGGAAATGGAGGAACTAATTGTTCCAAGTTTTCTTATGGCCTCCTGGTTTTCTCCACTGGGAGAGATGATTCTCGGGGCGGAGCTGGCAGGGAAAACAAAGGAGAGAAAAGAAGGGAAAAAACAGGAGCTGTTTCCAAAGAGGTTGAAGACCATGACCCAACTAATTCCATGAAGCAATCGATCCACCACCTGCACAGCCAGAACAGCCTGTGCTCGGGCTGGGCCTACCCTTGAGCTCAGACATTGTTTTAGTACAAAGCATTCTCATGATGACTGGTGGAAGATGAGCCCCTCCCCATCCACCACCCCCACTGTCCCGGCCACCTGCCCTGCCTCTCCACAAGGGCAGCTAAGAAGATGCCACACCGAATTTAATCTGTTAGCCCTGAAGGAAGCTCTTCTTCTCACACACCCATAGGAAGTCAGTTCTAAAAGAAAAGCTCAGTCTTTTCACTTTGAACAGAAGTGAACAGTGAGGGCCAAGTTCATAGCCATCCAGAGACATAGTGACAATGATGAGACCAGAGCCCAGTGGTCTCATTCCCAGACTACTCAGTCTCAGTCTGTCCTGCTGGAGCCACCTCTGCCTCACTCAGCCTGGCCCTTTAAGGCTGCTTCTAGCCTACAAAGGTGAACAAACACTTGCAAAATATGTCTGGCATGCATCTGGAAATCTTCCTATTTTTAACCTGGCTTCTTTTACAGAACAACTTTCCCTGTTAACTATGAAGTAATATTTCCTGGGTAATGTTACCCCGTTCCAGGCTGGCTCCTCAAACCTCCAGGCTTGGAAACTATCTTGTTGGTTGCTCCACCACTGGTCACGTTTGTTTTCTGAGATGGAGTCTCACTATGTGATCCAGGCTGGCCGGAAACTTGTCATCCTCCTCCCTGAGCCTCCTCAGTGCTGGGATCACCAGAGGGTACCACCATATCCAGCTTCCCATTGGTCATTCATGAGAATGCTGACTTGTACTAGCCAAATCTTCAGAAAGCACAAAGACCAGGATACCTGTTTATTAATGTGCATAAGAGCTCTAACTCTTGGTCGGACTAGTTTGTGTTGACCTGGCCAGTTCTCTTCCTCCCAAAGATAATCTATATGGCCAGTCAAGCTGCCAGACAGTCTCCTGGTGGGTGCAGGCTCAGAACGGGGACTGGCCACAGGATTGAAGGAGCTTTCTAGGTGCCTTATATTGGTTGCTTACCAGTCCCCTTTCTGACTGACCCATCCTGCTTTAGATGGACCAACGCTCTCAGAAGATTGCTGTGGTTCTGTTGGCCCCAAGAGCCCTTTGTTTCCATTAAAGAAACTTTGCTTCTTTCCTCTAGGTGTAGGTTTTATAACTTAACTCGTAGAAGGAAAAGCTGATTCCCCGTATGTTGAAGTTCTTCGGTGTGGCTTGTGCCTATATAATTCAGTTGTTCTAACACCTACAAATCCACCTACTCTGTTATCTGACCTGTATTTATTTCTTCATATTACCCTATCCTATCCTCAAGATTGTTCCAAGAAAATGCCTTATAAAGCTATGTTGCACATCTTTTTTGCAGATGGATGATGGGAAATCACTATTCATTCCACTTTCATATATGCTTAAAATTTTTCAAAATAATCCTTTTTAGATTTATTTGAAGTATAATTAAAAAAAAAAACTATCCATAGTTTCTCAGTCTACCACAAAGTCTGACTCTTCAACTGGATTAAGGCCTTCCTTCAACTAGTCTGAAAAACTTTTTCCTATATGACTTCTCTCTACTCCTACAAACTCTGTCCCTACTCTAGCTCCATGCATTGGCTCCTTCTGTTCCTCCAATGTTCTGCTCATGTGCCACCTCCTTCTGGAAGCTTCCTGTGTTCCCGCCTCACTGACTGAGCTCCTTCTTCCTCCGCACTTAGCACGTGCTTCTGCACCTGCCCCCACGGCCCATCACCCATGACGTATGGCGTCTTTCTTACAGTCTTCTCTCTTCGTACATATTTAGCTGTTTGCAGTTCAGAGATTGTGTGCATTTTCATTCATGCCTAGCAACAGACTAAACCTCTCCATCCATTTGAAACTTCAAATCTTCCATCCTATTGCCATCCTAAATTGTCTCCTATTTGGGATTTCAAGCAGATGGTGTCCACATTGCTCTTTACTTGACACAGAGTCATGCACATAGAAACCCAGAACAATTTTAACTGAGTGATTCCTTCTCAATTTCGTGATGCTGCCAGCTGTGTAGCTTTGCATGAGTCCCAGACCTTCAATGGCAGTGCATTGAGAGGACTGTACTACATCAGTGCTTCTCAGGCAGCATGCATGGGAACCAGCTGAGCAGTGTGTTAGAATGCAGACACCAGGGCTCCAGCCCCAGGCAGTCTGATGCAGGCCCAAGTATCTTCCTCTGCAGAAGCTCCAAGTCCTTTTGATGCAGGTGATCTGCAGGCCATTCTGTAAGGCTCCGACCCCAAAGGCCCATGAATTCTGGTATACCAGAATTCTCTGGTCCTTCATAACAAAGTCAAACACCAGTCTTCTCCCCAAGGAAGAACTTGTGCTTGCAGACCCCTCTGGACCTAATCTGCATTTGTCTCCTTCCTTGTTTCCCCAAGTGTGTGGCTGTGGCCTTGCCCAGTCAGGCTTCTTCTTCAAGAACCAGGAGTACATCTGCACCCAGGACTACCAGCAACTCTATGGCACCCGCTGTGATAGCTGCCGGGACTTCATCACAGGCGAGGTCATCTCTGCCCTGGGCCGCACCTACCACCCCAAGTGCTTCGTGTGTAGCTTGTGCAGGTGAGCAGGTAGCACGGGGTTAAGGCCTCTCTGTGTGTGAGCCCCAGGGAAGGGGAACACATGGCCTCTTCCAGGAAATTCTGGGGCTTACAGGGCTTACATTGGACAACTGAGCTAGAACCTCAAAGGTAGAGGGATCTGATAGACTAGTGGTTTTCAAACCCAGAAGCTGAATCTTATCATTGATGGAGGCAGGGAGAAGATGTGAACCCCATGCTCAACCTCCCACTTCCCATCAAAAGGCCTCCACAAAAACCACTGAGTACCCTGGTTCCTTAGAATACAGGATCTGGCCCAGGCTCCTGCACCCTTATCCACAGGTGGTACAAAGATGTGTATTGGTGATCTTTCTCCATCATACCAGCATTACCTCCTGCTGGCAGGGTGACCTTTGCAAGTGACCCTACCTCTGTAAGCCTCGGTTTCTCCATCAGTAATGGGAGTCCAAAACACTGCCACCTTATTGGGTTTTTGTGAAGATCAGTGAGATGATGCTCACAAAGACCTGGTACTGGTACAGAGTATGTCTGTTCTTGCCGTTCGTTTCATTGTCATGTTAGTCATCCAACCTCCCTTGGGACATCTCCAGTGGTGGAGAGCTCCTCCCCATCTCATTCCCCATCCCAGCATCTCAATAACTTGTTAATTTAGCAGATGCACATTAAGGATCCACTGCATGCCAAGAACTACATTAAGGAGATGAAAAAATTGAGGAAAAACCTCAGCCCTGCCCACAAATACGTTAAAATTTAATGGCCAGCTCTGATTAAGTCATAAGTAAAACATGATTTGAGAGTGTGCATGTGTTTATTAAGGGAAACAATTTATACATTAATTCTTCTCTTCACAAAATAACCACTGGTTAGTCACCATTAGAGGAACTAACCAATTAGAGTTTCTGATTGAGACTAATGACAGAGTGTGTAAGAAAATATAACCATCCAGACTGAGGAACATGGGTCAAGTGGTAGAATATTTGCTTAGCAAGGGCTGAGGCCCTGAGTTCAATCCCCAGGACCAGAAATATAATCACCTAGTGAAATTCATCCATGCATCTGTCTCTTAAAACCTGGGCTCTGGATCCTGGGATCCCAGACCAGTCACAGGTCAGCCCAAAGTGTCCTATGGTACAAGATAAGGTTAGTGTCAAGCTGATAGAGATGAGGTGACTCTCCAAGGTCATGCTTTGTCCTCTTACCATGAGCTAGTAGATGGGCCACAACAAGAACACAACTGCCTAAACTCCTGCCTCAGTGATGCCCCCATCGTCCCACACTGCTAACACAAGGACAGTGGAACCACCGGAAGCCTTTCAGGGCTTATGCCTGAGTCCAAATGGTGGTGTCCCATGCTGCGACAGCAAGAGCAGCTAAACAATGAGATTGGAAGTGCTGGGGAATCTGCATACCATTTATAATTTTGCTGGGGAAGTAGAAGCGTATGAATTTGAGACCCCAGTACTGACTGGAAGAACTGAACAAATACAGAGGAGGAGGGGAAGAGGTTTTTGTGGATTGATAATATTCCCATCAGGAAGGAGGATTTTGAGAAATGTCTGGATAATGAGATGCAAGAGATTTTGTGAGTTTGGGAGTTGAATAAGTTCTTTGACATGTGGGCAGATGTTAAACTGGGATGGAAAAAGCCTCTGAGGAGGATGGAACAGCTGCATATGCAGAGTCAGTGCTCTCTTCCTCTTTCAGCTGAGTTGAGTAAGCTCAGATATGCAGCATTATTTTCCCAAAGTCAAATCATATAAATGGCCCAACGAGCCTCTGGTTCTGGCCCTCTGGCCTGGGAGTGACTTCGTCTGTCGCTGTGAACAGTACTTGAATTTGCCTTGTGCGCTAGAAGGCAAGCTGTATGTCTTGCCAGAGTGCTCCAAGCACGTGTGCTGTCAGGCCACAAATACCCACAGAATCCTCACAACAGGAGGTATTGACTTTCTTCCTCAACCCCCTCACAGGAAGCCTTTCCCCATTGGAGACAAGGTGACCTTCAGTGGTAAAGAATGTGTGTGCCAGACGTGCTCCCAGTCCATGACCAGCAGTAAGCCCATCAAGATCCACGGACCAAGTCGTGAGTCCTCCCCCCATCACCTCCCTGAACTGAGGCACTGCCTCCAAGGTTCCCTGTCCTGGCACAGGGGATGGCCCCACCCTGGAAGACTCCTGAAGCAGGACCCAGTTGGCATACAGCCCAGACACACAGCTCCATATCACAATAAGGGGAAGACAGGCTGCCCAGCTGCAAGTGGTGATGGCCAGTGCCACTTAGCAGACACTTATATGGGTCTCTTCTGGGATAAGCCTGGTTGCTGATCTTAGGTACTGCAACATGATTGACAAAATATTGTCAGCAGTTCTGAATTTTGACAAAGTCCACTAAGAAAAATTTGTCACTGGGTGCTCATGGCCCACACCAGTAATCCTAGCTATTTAGGAGGCAGAGATCAGGAGGATAGGGGTTTGAGGCCAGCTCAAGCAAATAGTTTGTGGGACCCCCCCATCTCCAAAAATAACCAGAGCAAAATAGTCTGGAGGTTTGACTCAAGCAGTAGAGTGCCTGCTTTGCAAGGGCTGGAGTTCAAACCCCAGTCCCCACCCCTCCAAAAAAAAATGTCTCACAAAAAAGAAAGTAGGGATGCCCTGAGAGCAAACACAGGGAGAGTATGTCCATGGGCCACCATACCAGCTTCACTTACAAAAATGCAAAGTTCTGGGCTCACCTTGGACCTCTAAGGATGGAACATAGGAGGTGACATCCTGAGTGATTCATTCGCTGTTTCTAAAATTGAGAACACTACCTAGAGATTATGGTGTGGAATCTGCCATGCCATAATAATAGTATGTCTATCACCAAGCCACAGATTTGAGGGAAAAGTGAGGATCAAGAGTGTCAGGATAGTCCTCCTGGTTTGTGGAAATCCACTCAAGTGTGTGCAGCAACCAAATATCTAAACCTCTATTCCCAGATGCCCATGTGGGACTGGGAGCTGCATGTACCCACAGGTACACAGATCCCACCCCCTGGGTCTCTGAAGGTTACACTGGGCTCCAGCAATCTTTCATGTTATATGACACTCTGGCTGGCCCCATCAAAAGAATCAATGAAAATCCATTAGCCTGTGCTGCAGCACCGTGCTGGTGCAGGGGCTGCTGGCCATGGCACCAGCACAGTCAGCATTCTGGGGCCGCATCCAGCCAAGGAAGGTGAGTCGAGAGCACGTGCGTCAGCAAGGCTTGGCTCCCAGGGGCTCCATTAGAGCCTACCAGCTGTGGCGAGCTGAGGAGAGAGACAGTGGGCAGGTTCTCTCCCTTGCCCACCCTTCCTTTCAGTCGAATCAAATCTCTTCCTAGAATGTGCAGAGCCCCTCCTTCACATCCTTGGTGATGCTCAAGAATGACTTGCTCCTCTGGACAGGTTTCATCTCAAGGTGGCTGAGAGTACACACTGCAATCCTTCATAACTCTCTGAAAGCACCATCCAGAATAACAAAAAGACTAGGAGACTGGGATCAGGGCCATGGCCCTGTGACAGATGCTCCTGAGGAGCCCAGAAGACAATGGATTCACATATGGGGCAGTAGAGAGGGAGGCAAGCTTGAGTCAGGAGGCTGCCAATCTTCTGCATGATGCTGAGCAGTCCTGTAGTCTCCCTGAGACTCAGTTTACCTAGTTATAAAAGACACAGGAGTGTGTGGAAAGCAAGTGTGTTAGTACATGGGAATCAAGCTAACATGCATTGTAGTGTGTAAAATATTCCATTAAGATAAAGTGAGAGGTGTAATTGGCATGGAAGTTTAGTGTAACAAGTGCACCAAAAGAGCACTGAGAAGCGGTTTCCCAAACTCATTATTTTTCACAGGTATGCTGTGTGTTTCTGTGTACATTGGGGTCTCTGACAGGTGGGAGATTTCCTCAGAGGGGTGGGAGACTCACATGTGAGCATATCTCAAAGAGAGGCCCCTAAATGTCTCCACCTAATTTTGCAAATTAGGAGAGAGCAGTGAGGAAAGGTGAGGAAAGAAAAATGACTAAGCACGTGAACAATTTGCAGGGGAAGCACTCAGGCTTATGGTTTATGTCATTTCACAAAGTAAAGACATCCACCCATGGATCCACAGTGCATATGTTTCCTAGAAGTGTGTTTTCTGAGAGTGGTCACCGTCTACACTGCAAATGCAAGGGAGTGTCCTGATGAGAGGGAAGGTTGAAGGTCAAGCAAAGGATATTAAGCCAGGATATTTCGAGGAAACGGATAAACAACTAAGGTGTTTGTTTTGTATTATTTTGTTTTTTGGCAGTACCTGAGCTTGAACTCAGGGCCTAAACCTTGAGCCACTCTACCGTCCAAGCTTAAGGGTTTTTTTAAGTGTGAAGGTCATCCCTGGTGGGTGAATAAAGATATTCTGGAAAAGCAGCAGCAGTGTTTACTGACCAAAAAGAATACTCAGAAACTGTCAACGGGAGAGTATTGTGTTACTAACCACATGAAAAGGAAATGTCTCCTCATAGATCTCACAGAGAAGAATCAGCAGTAGAAGTAGCATCACCACCACCATCACCACCATCACCACCACCACCACCATCACCACCACCATCATCACCACCACCATCACCACCATCACCACCATCATCACCACCATCACCACTACCATCATCACCACCACCATCACCACCATCACCACCACCATCATCACCACCACCACCACCATCATCACCACCATCATCATCACCACCATCACCACCACCATCATCACCGTCATCACCACCACCATCATCACCATCACCACCACCATCATCACCACCATCATCACCACCATCATCACCACAATCATCATCACCACCACTATCACCACCACCATCACCACCACCATCATCACCACTATCACCACCATCATCACCACTATCATCACCACCATCACCACCACCATCATCACCGTCATCACCACCACCATCATCACCACTATCACCACCATCATCACCACCACCATCATCACCACCACCATCACCACAATCATCATCACCACCACTATCACCACCACCATCACCACCACCATCACCACCACCATCATCACCACTATCACCACCATCATCACCACTATCATCACCACCATCACCACCACCATCATCACCGTCATCACCACCACCATCACCACTATCACCACCATCATCACCACCACCATCACCACAATCATCACCACCACTATCACCACCACCATCACCACCACCATCACCACCACCATCATCACCACTATCACCACCATCATCACCACCACCATCACCATCATCACCACCATCATCACCACTATCATCATCACCATCATATCACTATCACCACATAGTACTGAACGTTTCATTATATAATATCTCAATTAATCATTCCAGCAACTCTTTAAGGAAAATAAGAGTAATTGTGTTACAGATAAGAAAACTGAGTCTCTGAGCATAAATGACTCCTAAAGTAACACAGATAATAAGACATGAGACCAGACAGATAGCCTCTAGACCCTGTTCCTTAATACCTTATACTAGAAAAATGACCTGCTAATTGGGAAGGGTCCTGTCTCCAGAATTAGTTGCCTAAAACAAGGCAGGGTCTTGCTGTGATTCACAAAGCCCACTTATTTTTAATGAACTAAGTGGAATGAATGACATAGTCAACTAGGCTAAAAACAGTGGGGGCCTTAGAGGCTTCAGTAATAAAGTGAGGGATTTGGAAGGAACAGGTGGCATCATTCTTTCTGCCAGCTGAAGATTGTAATTTTGGAACAGAAAGGAACATATGAGGAGTGGACAGCTGCAGAAACCAGCTTGGGAACAGGGTGTGGTTCTCCTGACCCTGTTGATGACACCAGATCCATGGGTTCCCGGATCAGGTACCTGAGGCTATACCAGTGTCCAAGAATGAAAGAAAAGAGAGAAAAAAGGTTCAGGTAAATAAGAACCAGTACAATGGAGGACCAGCACTGTAACATGAAAAGAGAAAGCAAATGGAGAAGTCATCCCAGAATTTTCAGGAGAGTAAGCAAAGCTTCCCTGCAGCAGGATTATTGCTTCTAGATTCAGATCAGAGATGGGCCCTGCACAAAATGTGGGTTTAAAATAAAAACACAAGAACATGAAATAATGACAACAACCACTTATTAGATGCACACATTGCTCATACTGACCTAATCATAGGGTAGACATTCAGGTGAGGAGCAGACTCAGAGGTACAACTCAGAGTGGGGGAGTTGGGATTCTTGCCTAGGCCAGCGTCTCACCACTCACTGCAGTAGTTCCTAAATTTCAACCAAGCTGCTAACTTCATCTCAAATGTAGCACTCTAATTTAAAGAGATGGGACTCGTTACTGGAACATGGAAATGGCCAGCTATTAAGTCGGTTTTATTGAAGAGGTAGAGTAATGCATTGTTAGCCAGCAACATGTCTGCCTCCGTGGAGTCCATCACTGAGCTGGATCAGCGTACATCCACGTCAAGTGACATGTGAGGCACAAAGGATGAGGAAGAGACTGCAGTTGCCTTAGTTATTTGAAGGAACTGTTGGGTGGGAAGAGGAGCAGATTAGTAGCTGCCTAAGAATAGGGGGAGTCACAGGAGTCAGGCTCCACATAAAGAAGACAGCCATGCTAGCCATACCTGTCCAAACAGAGTGAACTTCCCTCAGAATGGCTAAGCTGCCAGCCCCTGGATGTGAGTAGCCAGAGGACAGGTGCCACCCCATCTGTCAAGAGTAGAAAAGGCCCTTCAGGGGCTGGTACATTTTGACCAAATGCTCTGTGAACTCGGAGCCCTACAGAATAATCAAGCCCTGGGGTGGAGCCCTCCAAGACATAAGTGCAGTCTTTGTGGCTTAGAAAGCTTCAGCAGGCACCTGTCTATAAAGGGAGGAGGGACCTGACATCCTTAAATCATTGCATTCTGAAGTCTGTAATTATTGGGGTGGGGAGGTGCAGGAAGACTTATAGACTGATCCCTAGGGGGGAAAAAAAAAAGAAATGGAAAGAAATCACTCCCCAAACTCTTTATTCTCTCAGTCTCCATATGAAGGCCTGGGTCTTGAAACATCTTGCAGCTGGAGACCAACCTGTTCCCAGACTGCACTACGGGATATTAGAAAGGCACACAGCAGCCAAGTGGCAGGTGCTGTGGGAACCAATTTATACAACACTTCATCCAGGCCTGACCCTCCCCACAGCCTGCTGCACATACTGCCCTTTCTAGACAGGTTCCCCAACTTTGTGTGTGGCTCTCTCTCCTTAAATATTCCAAACAGTGCATTGCATCTTGTGGTACCAACTGGGAGGTTTGTCCTCTGGTAAACTTTGCTCCATGACTCTTTTCTCCTCTGAAGTGGGCCATCCGGTCAGCAAGGCCTGAATTCCCAGCATCTCCCAAGTACCCTGTACTCTGATCCATTTCCTGCCCCTCCTGACATTCATTGAGCAACAGGCAGACCGCTGGGCCTGCCCCACATTCTGTTGACCTCAACACACATTCCAAGGTGACAGTGACAGAGAGTGAGAGCACATTTCTGGCTTGGGACAGTCTCAGATAGACTCTGATCCTTGCTTCTTGAGGAGACAGATGTTTGGTATATAGAAGCACACTGGGGAGAGGGTGGGCATGAACTTCTGTTCTTTGCCTGGATAGTGTAAGGCCCACCCATCCACACTCCTTCAGCAAGCATGCTTTGAGTTCCTACTGTAAGCCTGGCACCATGCTAGCCAAGGAAATAGACTTAGCCACAAAGCACAGACACTGTCCTAGCCATTGAGCTCACAGACTAAAAACGAAGAGAAAAAAATGTAGCTGTCCCCAGAAGCAATGCTTCTCAATCTTTGCCATGAACAGAGATCTTGTTGCAGTTCAGTCATCTCAGTGGGACTGTGTTGCTGTGTTCTGCAAGCTCCCAGGTGAGGCAGATGCTGCAGGAACTGGGGTCATGAAAAGCTTGGTTAGCAACTTCAGGAGTGGCCGGGCCAGTACAGGATTCGCTTTGGATGAACAGTGGTTAGGATGATAAGCAGAAAGGCTTCTCCTTCTCCTCCACACCATTGTCCTTTGTCCTCAGGCCAAGGCTCCAATGGTCTTTTCTCTCACTTTGTAGGGTCTCTAGATGGCTGCTAACACCAGGACTGGGACACCTGTGAGGACATTAATGTTCACAGAAGGATTCCCTTGAAGTGGGCATGGGATGATGGCAGAAGGTCCGAGGGGCCCAGAAAGATTTGCTCAGTAGGGGTCCTCTTGTCTTTGCAGACTGCGCTGGGTGCAAGGAAGAAATCAAGCATGGCCAGTCACTCCTGGCCCTGGACAAGCAGTGGCATGTTAGCTGCTTCAAATGCCAGACCTGCAGCGTCATCCTCACCGGGGAGTACATCAGCAAGTTGGTGTCCCTCTCCCTCCCCTTCCCAGCTCCCTAGGCCTCTGTGTCCTACAAGGTCTTACCTTGAATCTCTAGCATCATCCCTTGTCATTTTCATCAGCTACTGCATTTGGGCCACAGTGGCCTCTTTCCACCTGTGCGTCCTCCCATGTTGTGTCCTCTATCTGTGATGCTCTGGTGCTCTTCATCCATGGATTCCTCCCTTCCTCCCTTGAGCCTTCTGCTCAGAGGTAGCCTCACAGTGTCACTCACTACCTTCACTCCCCAGTTCTTTTCCATCACATAGGCTACAGCTACTTGTAATTATAATTGTATATATGTACATCTATACCTATGTACACATCTATATCTATATATACGTATATATCTGTTTTAACTCTTTAGTAGTGATAATACTAACTACCATTTATTGGCCTTTTGTCATGTACAAAGAACTTACTAATTCTTTTGGGCAGATTATCAAATTAAACCTAAACTACCCCTCCCTTGAGGTGTTCTGTCCCCATGTGTCTACTCCGGTCCCTGCTAGGACAGGAACTTTGTCTTAGTCACAGTTGTATACTCTGCCTGTACAATGCGTGACCCATGGTCAATAATGGGTTGATGAATAAATTTAACTGAGATAAAAGGGGATGATGGACACATCAAATTTTCAATCCCCAGGGGCCTGCACGCTGCAGCTTTGAACAAGTCCCCCTTGTGGATAGGCCCTAGTGACCACATGTATATACTTAAATACCTGAAGGCAATTAGGAACACAGACCTCAGTACTTTGACACTTTCTAACCCAGGTGCTTCCTAGGTCCCACCCTCTGGCCAGATACCAGGAGAAGGTGTGAGTACAGCTGTGGTGTAGATAGCATCTGCTCTCACATTTTCAGTCTAATATGGAAATAAGATGGATTCATGAAGAATTAGGACCCCAGGGTTATGTAGAAGGAGTTCATAAGAAGTTTTTTTCCTTAAATTCCTTTCAATCATGAGTGACGGAAAAACCCAATTCCAACTCACTTAAAAGCAACAAGTGGAATTTATTCATTCATAGAAATGGAAAGGTCATAGGTACACTGGCTTCAGGCATAGCTGCATCCAGGTACTTAAAGAGATCAACACCACAGAGCTCACTCTCTCTCTTTCCCCTCCCTCCTGCTTTCCTCTGTATTGGATTCATTCTCAAGCAGATCCTCCTCCCCAAGAGGAAGATCACCAGCAATGTTAGGTTTTAATTCCGTCAGCTTAGCAAGCCTAGTAGTCAGGACTTTTTCCCAAAAACCCAACAAAAGTCCCATGGCTGCCTTTTATTTGGCAATCACTTGATCAATCACTAGCCAGAAGGGTCCATCCCTACAGCCAGACAACAGCCCCTTGTAACACAGAGAAAGCTCAAGCAGGAAGGGGTGACTTCCAGAGGAAAATCTAGGTACTGCTACCAACAGAAGGGGAAGTAGATGCTGGCCAAACAACACTTGCTTGTGCCCAAGGTGCTACTGAAGAGCTGTGGATATTCAGAGAAAGGAGAGGCCACTTCTAACTAACAGGAAGTATAATCTGAAATCAGTGGTGGTATTTCGAGCTGCACCTTGTAAAATGGGTAAGACTTAAAAAGCCAGAGGAGAACTTGAAGGCAGAACGGCAGGGGCAGAAGGAAGGCAAGGGTTGAACACCTCCATCCAGTTTGGGAGCTCAGGTATGTGCACAGGTGAAGCAGAACTCTGAAAGTCATGTCAATAGGCGTCCGTCATTCCCCTCTGGTCTTGCCAAGTACGAAGTGTCCTTAATAAGTTGCTAGCCAGGGTCCTTGAGTCTAGGAACCTTAGCAGTAGGGTTTGCTCAGAGCTCCTCTCCAGGAACATATTAACCCCCTACCTGGCCTCTACAGTCTGGCTCTGGACCCCTGGCCTGCTGCAGTAGAGTGACTAACAGTGCTGAGGCACCAGCTACGACATTAGATGCCCAAGGTAGAAGCCCTATTTGTGTGACCTTGGCCAGGCACTCAACAGCTCTGAATCTTACTTTCCTCATTTATAAAAATAGGGTTAATAAGACGACCTATCTCATGGGGATGTATGAAGGCTCAGAGAACTGTGCTTTGTACCTAAAAAGTGCCCAAGAAATATTCCCTTTATGATATGCCTGCTTTTAGAATCATGTACATTTCAAATTCCCTAACCAGGGATCTAAGTATGCTTGTGTTGGTATGTGTACCCAAATTGTGCTAGCTCATTGTACCCACATTCTGACAAGTGACATTTCCCCTTATACCCACAGAGGGAGAACCTGTTTAGCTCCAGGGAAGTGTATGGGGAGGCCTGTCTCATGGGCTCACAAACAAGATCTTGCCTGTGGGCCTAGGCTCACCTTTGAGCCTTTGCCAGGTGTCAGGCCTTAATGCTGCTTCTCCCTTAGGAAATGCTGACCACCCTGATCCCCAGATGGGGCTCCAACTTTGAGAAGGAGAAATGGCATGTCTATCCTTTAGGCTTCTCTGTTCCTGAGCCAATTCTCTTACACTCAAAAGGGGAGAAACATCCCTCTTTCCTCAGTGTTCAGACTCATTCTTGGAGCTAGGCAGATGTCAGAAGCTGGGCTGAGCTCACCTACATCCCCAACTGTCTCTATCAGCCCTAGATTGCTAAACACCAAACACCCTCCTTTAGGACATTCTCAGCCACGATGGTGATCACGACCTTTACAAGTGTACAGTATGAACTGGGCACAGTGCTAAGCCCTAGCATATACCAGGCCTATCTCCTTTAATCCCCATGAAAATCTACTGAGAAGCAAGACTTGTCTGTGTTTGACGTCCAGCTTCAAGTCATCACGGGTGACCTGGGTGAGTTACTCATCTGCCCCATGCTTGGGTTTTCTCATCCACCCACTGAGAAACTAATAGCACTGATTTCATTGGGATGCCCTGAGGATTAAATGAAATGATCTATGTGAGGCACCATCAGATGGTGGGACACATACCAAGCGAGAAATGCCAGTGGTTATTAGCACTAGGGGTAGTACAAGAAAATTCCCCAGCAAGCTTGTCTCTGTTACTAAGACATAAGCACTAGTAGAAATGGCGTATGTAGGAGGCACTCAGTGGAAGTTTCTCATTATCTACTAATCAAGTAGCACAGACAGTGGTTCTTCCATTATAGGTAAAATTTTTTATTAAAGGAGGAGGTCTTAAGGATACAGATACATAAAAAAATTGATTATATTCATTACCTCCTGGAAGGAAGACTGGGTGGGGTTGAAAGAAGGATGGAGGCTTTTCCTTTTATGCCTTGAAGATGCTGTACCATATACAAGTATTACCTATTCTAAGTAAAGCCAAACAGTGTAAATGTTTTAACTAATTTTCAAAAGGAGTCCCTTGGAATAAAAGAAAAAGAGTGAGTCTAGAGACCTTGTGGGGAAGGAGAAGAAGGTAAGGGGAAAAGGGACACATGAGGCTCCCATCCATGCTAGGGATGCTCACCAGATGCCAGTTCCTGGGCCCCTATCTCAGGAATTCTCTGATTCTGTAATCTGAAGTGTATCTGAGAAGTTTGTGTGTTAAGTGAGCTCCCCAACCACTTCCAATCTTCACCCAGTCACCATAGGCTGCAGGTCCTGGAAGAGCCACAGGACTCCCTTCACTGATCTCCTCACTTCCTCTTCCTTTGTGAAATTCCTCTTGCAGGGATGGCGTTCCCTATTGCGAGTCTGACTACCACTCCCAGTTTGGCATTAAATGTGAGACCTGTGACCGGTACATCAGCGGCAGAGTCTTGGAGGTGAGTGGGCCCAAGTAATCACGAAGACATGTGAACAGGATCCCTCCAAAAAGTCATCACCAAGGAAGGAGAAAGTCACCTCATAGCCTCAACCTCCTCCAGTTTTTCTTGCTTCATGACCTTGAACAGATAACCTTGCAGGATCTCTGAGCACCCCCAAAATCAGAAGGTGAACAAAATTATTCCTGGTTCAAAGATTTCTATGCTGGAAAAATCAGCGGCTTCTTTGTGTTTAAACCCAGACAGATTTCTAGGGAGTAACAATTAGGTTTTCCTCCCAGCCCTGCCTAAGGATGGAAGCCCTTTTTTTTTTTTATTTTTTAAGTATTTGGTAGTACTCTGATTTAAGAACCAACTTGTCTAGCAGCTTGCTTCCTGAGCCCTTCTTTGGCTGGTCCATCACCATGGCAACCAACTCTCCCCAGCTCGCTCTGCCAGTGACAGACAACCTCAGCCCCTTGCTGAGCCCTTGGCTTTCCTGGCCTTCCTTTCCACACCCTCTGGGCCTAGAAGCTGCCCACCCATTCTTTGGAACCACCCACCTTGAGAAATTAGAAAAATAGGAAAGAGCTTAGTGCAAAAGAAAAATAATAACCTAAGAGTAGAAACAACTGGGCTCTTACATTGATGCTACTGCTAACTTATACTCAGATTTTGGATGAGGATCTTTGTATCTCTGGGCCCCTATTTTTCATTTGACAATGGCTGGGGAATGGCAGGCTAGGTTAGCTGCTGTAAGCAGAATCATTAGTTCTGCCAAATCTGACCAGTTGGCTGTAGTTACTGTGATTCTTTTGCCACATGTGAGCTCAGCAGGAGACAGTATAGAAAATAGGAAAGGACTCTCCAAGGAGATGTTCTGAAGCAGAGCTCTGAGGATGAGGAAGCTAGCATTGAAGAGCTAGGAAGAATGAGCTTGACCCATTCAGGAAACAGAGAGAAAAGCCAACATGGCTGAAATTTATAAATTGAGGGTAGAAGAGGTTGAATAGAGGGCATATCTCACAGGACTTTAAAGACTATGTTAAAGAGCTTAGATTTTACACTAAGTATAATGGAAAGCCATTGGAGAGTTTTAAACCAAGGAGCAGCATGGTATTATATTTTTAAGAGATTGTACTAGCTATTACATACAGAATTGACTGTAGGGAGTCATACAGAATAAAATAAACAAATGAACTATTAAGTATCTCCAAGGAGCAGTAAGGAGTACAAAACAGAGGATAAGGAAGCATGAGCACAAGAAGGGTTGTTGGGCTCAGGTTTCTAAGGGCCCAATATCGAGGGTAAGGAGTTTATCTGAGTAATGGGAAGTCATAGAAAGAATGAGCAGGAATGACCTGATTAGAGCAGAACCTCAGGGAAGATAACATTTTGATGTTCACAGGCTAAATTTGCAGGAAGGAAACTACAAGAGGAAGCCAGGGGCCACTGCATGACAAGGGCAACCACCCTTGTCTCCAGCATCGTGGAAGTAGAATTCCAATAGCTCTGCAACTGTGGGACTTGTAGATGTGGAGACTGGAAGAGAGGAAGTAAAGTTGTACCAACTGTGAACCTGGGTGATAGGAAGTCTGATGTCACAGAACTGGGGATAACAGGAGAGAAGGTAGTCTGGGCAGAAAAAGTCAAGTTTCATTTGGGATACGTTTGTGATTGCCATCCCAGGAAAGTTGCAAGAAGACAGAAACATGGGTCAAGGCTCAGAAACAAAGCTCAGGTCTGGGTCTAGGGGCATGACTCAGATGGCAGGGTATTTGCCTAGCAAGCATGAGGACCAGAGTTCAAAAAATAAAGCTCGGCCCAGAGGAGCCAATTTCAAACCAATCTTGGAGAGTGGCTGCCTACAGAAAGAGGAGGAATTATCAGAGGAAGAAGAGGGACAGTTGGGATGTGGGAGAACAGAGGGGATAGTGAAAGGACAGAGCTTCAGGAAACATGGTAAGGTCAATTGGATGTAGGTCAAACTCTGTAAAGATGCTGGAATGGGAGATCACAAACGTTGACTTTTCTTTGGGAAGAGAAGAACTTTGATTACACACAGGACTGCAGATGGGAAGTTGTTCTGATATTTCCAAGGTGCTTTACAATTCTATTGGTGATGGCTGCCTTTTCCCCAAGCATCACTATTGCTTGGCATCATGGTAGTCTCTTCCTCCTCGGCAACTGTGACTGGGTTTCAATTGATCCCATTTGTACAGGCTCCATTAGCATCTTGGAATTACTCATTTTTTCTTAGAGCTGGAAGAGACGTTCAGCAATAAACTAGTTCAGCCTCCTCATTTTATAGATGAGAAAAGTGAGACCCAAGATACAAGTACCTTTCCAAGGTCCCAGGTAGAATTTCTGGTAGAGACAGAGGTAAAATCTAGGACTCCAGGCTTCTGTATCCCACAGCTCTCAGCCGCTCAGGGGTCTTTGAGGTTATATGATGTCAAAGGGAAAAATAGCTAAAGTGAAAAGGACTTGAAGTCAAATTTTTACCACTTCTAGCCATGAAACCTTAAGCAAGTTACTTTCTCCAAGTCTTAGTCTTAGTCTGTCAATAGAGAATACTACTGTCATTTTAATGGATGTGTTAGTCAGGAATTTTTTGATTGCAAGTACATAAACTACATGCAAATGGCACTGGCTGAATAGGAAATATATTAGCTCCCAAAACACAAAAGCTAGGAAGAGTTCTAGCTTTGGCCACAGCTGGGTTCAGTGCCTAAATAAATCACCCAAAATCTCTGGCCATCTCAGCTCAACTATTTGCAGGAAGGCTCTCTTTATGGTGGGGATGTTTAGACACTGGGATCTTGCATTCTATCAACCAGCATCTCCAGTGGAGATCAAGCCTCTCTCTCCCAATAGCTCAGCAAGCATTCTGGGACTCACTCTGGATGGTTTTAGACCCATCCCTGAACCAACAGCTGTGCCTATAGACTTGAATAGATTAATTGGTGGAGTCCACACTGCTTAACCCTATGGAATGATGGTGGAGTGGTCTAACCAAGGAGAGGCTTGGTGCTGTTTCTGGAAGAAGGAGAAAGAGCTTTGGCCAGGCAGTTTCCCAGCATGGGGCCCAGCACATTATCAGGTCACTGCAGGCACTTACTTAAATCATTCTTCTCTTCTCAATCCAACCTTTCCCATTCCCTCCTAAGGCCATTCCTTCATCCTCAGGGACAGAACTCAGTATGCTAAGTGTCAGTTAGCAACCTTCCTTCCTTGTCCAAGTTCTCACCAAAGAGGACCACAGCCTAGTCTTTTTTGTTTCTTTTTTTAATAGTTTTATTATATTTTTGAATTAACATATATTAATAATGTAATTCGATACACATGTGCACAGTGTATCCCAAACAAGTTCACCCCCTCTTTTATTCCCATTCTCTTCCTGCCTCCACTAAGCAACCCTTTTGTCAAACAATGTTTGCTGGGTTTCATTATGCCATCTTCATGTGTATATAAACAACGTACTTCTATCCTCCCTACCCCTCAGTGTCCTTTCCTTTCTCCCTTCCCCGTTGTGTTGATCCCCGCACACCATCTCCCTTTTATATTCATGTCCCATTATTGTCATCGTCATCATTTTAGGTCTAGATTTCACAAATGAGTGAGAACATGCAATATTTGTCCTTCGAATTTGGCTTATCACACTCAACATGTGACCTCCAGTTCCATCTATTTTCTGGCAGATGACATAATTTCACTTTTCTTTATGTAATTTTTTTTCTTTAGTAATATTCCATGGCATATACATACCATATTTTCTTTATCCATTTCATTGGTAGTTGATACCTTGGCTGATTACTAAATTTGGCTGTTGTGAATAGTGCTAGTGCTGCAATAAATGTGGGTATTCATGTCTCTTGTATGCTCTTGTATGTTGACTTATACCCCTTCAGATATATGCCAAAACTGGTATACAACCTCTGTGGAAATTAGTATGAGATACTCCAAAAAACTAAAACTAGACCTATCTTATACCATTCTTTTAAATTTTTTTCTTAGCATAAATTGTACAAAAGGGTTTCATTGTGATATTCATGACATGCATGTAATATACTTTGATCAAATTCACCCCATATATATTACTTTCTTAACCACCTACCTTCTCCCCCCTCCTTTTAACAGTTTTTGGTGGGTTTCATTGTGATATTTCCATATATATATAAAATGTACTTCTATAAAAATTCATTCTCCCATCACCCTCTCCTGTCCTCCCTCCTCCCACCTGCTGCACAACCTGGTCTTGCTGCATTCCTAGCCTTGGTTGTCATTCTCAGACCTCTCCAATATGGCCTCATATTTCAGATGCCAACTCTGCTATTTTTATTCAATATTTTCTTGACTTTGGTATGCTAGCAGGTGAAATAATTCCTGTTACCTTGCTGCTTTGGCTTTTCCATATGCTGGGTGCAGGCTGCCTTAACAACTTCACTTCTTTCCAGTTGTTTTCTATACCATCCATGGCCAGGGTTGCTGAGATGGGCAGGAAGTCTTTTTCAGCAGAGTGGTGGGGCGTGACATTTAGGAAGATGCTATGCTTCAGTTTTGCCAAGGCACTGTTACTACCCTGGATAAAAAGGTCTATAATTGAAATGATAAAGAGACACAGAGGAGGGAGAGGCTACTAATTAAACCAATTATACTTGTCATGGTATGAGAGAATCAGTCCCATGACTTCTCAGCTTGGGAAAATAGCAGACTCCTCCTAAAGTTTGAGTATAGTTTGCTTGGATGACAACAGGATGTTTTCTCACTGGTGGGAGCCATGTAAACAACTAAGAATGACAAAATGTGATATTGGAGGGTTTTTTTTTCTTTTTTAAAAATCTGCCCTCTTTATATTCTTGCTAAGTTTTTGGAATAAATTGAGTTTCTCCAAAATAAACAATCCCAAAAACATTTGGAAATAGGTCATCTTTATACAACTATAATTTTTTAATTGAACAAATAAGCATCAGACCAAGCAATGGCTTGCAAGGAGGGTACTTCACATCCCCCAAATATACATCAATTTTACCCAGTGCCTTGCCCCCCCAAAATAAAATTACCCTGCCATGTAAAATATTTCTTCAAAAGAAGCCCCACCTTCCAACCTGGTCTCTGTATCACTCCTTCTGTGAGAAATTCTAGAACTTCCAATAGGCTGAAGAGCCCTTACACATCAGGTCCTCTGGGCTAGGATTCTAGTCAGCATGGAAGCCGCTGTAGGGCTGGCACCTGGCTCCCACAGGCCTGGCCCCAACACTGCTACCGACTTCCAGTGAGACCTTGGGGAACAGCCTTCTCAGAGACTGGTGCTTCCTCCCCACAGAGGAATTTGCAGATATAATAATTTCCATTTTTAATTTCAGCAGTGGTGGGGAATAAAAGTGAGAAAAGATAAGGGACTCAACAAAGCCACCTCAGGGTGGGTTGGGCTCAGAGACAAGGCCCCCAGTGCCACAAATCTAGTTTAGGAGTTAGGGGCTCCCTGGCAGGTCCTCATTTGTACACTAAGCCCTGAAAATATGTCCTTCATATGCCACTCTCATAATTTTTATCATGTCTGTGAGCCTTATATGCTCATTCTTACATAATACTTTAATTTGTGTTTAAGTCAGTTCATTTGCATATTAGAAAGCTTCCACAACATAACATAACAAGAAAAACTGTATCACCTGCCTTATTGCAGGTAATCCCAAAATGAATATAGTTCTAGCTAGATCATATTGCTTGTGGGTGCACCAAGCCTCATACCTGTTCTCATTCTTAAAAAGATAGATTAGAGCCAGGCATGGCAGTACACGTCTATAACCCTAGCACTCAGGAGGCAGAGGCAATAGGATCTTGAGTTCAAGGCCAGCCTGAGCTACAGAGTGAAACCCTGTCTCAAAAAAACTAAGGGCTGAGGGCAATCTAACCAATGTACAATGTAAGACTATTCAGAATTATCATAACAAATACCCCCAACAAAGTTGATATGCTAATAAAAATGAAAAAATAAAATAAAAAGCTGCAATCGCCAAAAAGAAAAAAAAAAAACCTAAGGGATGGGAAAGCATCTCAGTGGTAGAGCACTTGCCTGGCATGCACAAGGCCCTGAGTTTGATCCAAAGCACCACCAAAAATAAAGTCAGTGTGTTTTGATAGATGTCGTAAATTCTTAAATACACTGGCTCCAAGCTGGTACTTTCTTCTTTATAATATCAGAAGAATCAATAGAGGATTAAAAAGGAGATCTTTTTTTTTCCATTGGTTCAGTGTTATTAAATCCCGAGATCATGTCCATTAAGGTCATTTCAGGTGCCACTAGGGGTAATGACCCACACTTGGGGAAATGCTGAGATGCCTCAAAGCCAGACTGTTTCCTAATGTAGAAATGAGAAGATGGGGATAATGGTCTCTAAGGGCCCTTTCACCTACAGGTATCCAGAGTAGTTCCCTGAGCTGCCATCTGTGACCCACAGAGACGTCACCAAGCTTCTTGGGTGGTTTCTCATATGGTCTGGGCCCCACTGGGCAAGCTCCCAACCTACCATAGGGCCATGAAGACAACTACAACACTAATGTACCCACTGGACAGCAGCCCCAGCTCTGACATCCTGTTCCATCTCTTGATTTCCGTAGGCAGGAGGAAAGCACTACCACCCCACCTGTGCCAGATGTGTGCGCTGCCACCAGATGTTCACCGAAGGGGAAGAGATGTACCTCACAGGTAAGCAACTCTGACCCTTCACAAGGCGTTCTGATCCACTCATGACCGGAAAGGGGATATGATCTCCTTCCATGTCAGTGTTATCTTTGCCGTTGGCCTATCCTCAAAATTGCAATTAATTTGCCCCTCTCTGGGTGAATGGAGAAAGTTGCCGGTGTGGCTAATATGAAGTGACATGTAATCTGCCTTCCATCCCTGTGCACCTCCACCCGCTGTTCAGCTGGCCTGCTTCCCTGGCAGTGCTCTGAGCAGACTCCCCTGGCTCTGCCTGGGAGTAGGAAGATGAACTCCCCAGGACCAAGGAGTCAGAGAACCTCAGAGGGACACTTGGGCTACAGAGAACCTATAGCACCACAGCCTCTACCTGCCCCCATCCTATCCCATTTCTTCTCCCCACATCTCAAAGCATCATACCAGGCCACTGCTCAGGGCTCCCAGTGGGCACAAAGAGGAATGGAAGGCACACATAGTCCCCCTAAGCAAGCCAGGGCTGTTTCCACTCTGCTCCCTCCCCAGGTCCAGCCCTCTTGCCCCAGGATTCCTGCAGCAGTCACCCAAGGGTCTTCATATTCCACTCAGTCTTCTCCTGTCTACCTGTCCCCTCATCCAGCACATCACAGTGCTCTTGGCTCTGCCCCAGTGAGAAGCCTTCCAGGCCCCTTCCTACCCACCAGTTTAGGTAAAAGTTCTTGAGCCTATCATGGAAGATCTCCTCAAGATCCCAAACCTCCTCTCTAACCTTTAACATACCCAACACTTAAGCTGCCTAAACCATCCTTCAGTCCACTTATTCTGTCCTTCAACCACTATTTCTGGAGTCTCTCTTCCTTGTGCATGCTCTGTCCAGGGCCCATTGTGAGGTCCCACCACAACCCGTCTTCAGCAAAGGAGATGGGCGTCAGTTGGAATCACACAAATAAATGTCAGTCATGGTGGGTGCTACAGAGGGGAGAAGGCTGGGGTGGGTGGGAGGAGTAACAGAAAATGCTCCCTGAGGAAGGACCAGAAGCTGAGATCCTGGACTGCTGAGTGTTAACTGGCATCTCAGTCCCTTCAGGCTGTTTTAACAAAGTACTATAGATTGGATGACTTATAAACAAAAGAAATTTACTGCTCACAGTTCTGGAGGCTGGGAAATCCAAGATCAAAGTGCTGGCAAGTTTGGTGTCTGGTAATAGCCCACTTTCTCTTAGACATTGCCTTCTTGCTGTGTCCTCACACGATGGAACAAGTAAAACAGCCCCTATTTTATATAAAGGGCGCTAATCTCAATCATGAAGACTCTGGTCTCATGACCTAATCACCCCTCAAAGGCCCCCACCTTCTAATATCACTTGGAAGGAGAAGATTTCAACATATAGATTTTGAAGAACACAGACATTCACACCATAGCAATTAGACAAGAGAAGAGGAATAAGATATGTCAGCCTAGGGGACAGGATCGGCAAGATCCTGAGGGGTGGGTAAAGAAATGACAAGTGTTTAAGACCAAGAGCAGCTGTGTGGCCTGGTTACAGACAGAGGTAATAGATGGGACTGAGAGACCTTATGGCAAAACGGTGTTCAGCCCATGAAATAAATTCATGACTTTTCTCTTTGTCTTCCTGTGCCCTCTTTGGAAATCCTACCATCATATGTCCCCTTTAGTCACCACATGCTTCATGAGCACTCCAGAACCACCCACCTGTACCCATATCTTAAAGTGCTCCTTCCTCCCTGAGTCCTCACCGCCCATTGTTTGCACTGGTCACCTCTAGCTTGTCTAAGAGTTAGTCTTCTACTGAGACCCCTTGATCCTAACATTGGCCCTACCTTCACTCACTCATAACCAATCACTGTTGTCAGAATTGCTATAAGTAGTCCCACCTAGATGTTTGAATAGCTTCTTGGAGAGTGGGAGCCCTTCCACATTTCTCTGAAGGTAGTCAGGGGCCAGGGAGTGTGTCTAAGCTATGAAGCGTGTCCTCACCACAAATGCCCAAAGTCATGTGTTCCCTCAAGCTGCGATGTGTCCCCTGTGCCTAGAGCAGTTTCTCAACCTCGACACTGTTGACATATGGGCTGGTTGATTCTTTAGTGTGGGAATTGTCCTATACACTGTAGGGTATTTAGTGGCATCCCTAGTCTCTACCTACTGGATGACAACTAAAAATGTCTCAGATATTGCCAAATGTCCCAGGTGGGTGGAGAATAAAAAAATCATCCTCGGCTGAGAACCCAAAGCTATCCAGTAGAAACCTCTGCCTCATGCTAGGAGTGCTGATCAGGGGTTCCTATGTTGGAATGGATAAGGGGAACATTACATTTCTAAGACTTTGCAACTCTGTAACTACTTACTTGGATGTGCTGACAAGCAGATGCTAGAGGCAGATGAATCCCAAAGGTCACTCTAAACTATAAAGTGACTTCCCTCGTTGTATAAATTGGGGAAATGGGTCTAGAGAAAGGAAGAGTTTTGGGTGTGAACCAGCGCATACAAGAGCAAAGCAGAGCATTGACCTTGGCCTTCACTTCTAGGGCTCTCTGCACCTTCTCTCCTGGGACCTAGACTTGGACGCTACTCAATTCCCTGCTCCTCCCCCATGAGCACCAACCTCCCAGTGCCAGGGTCCCCAAGTGACTCCTGTTGCAAACTTTATGATGTCTCCGTGTACCCCAACTACCATGAATATCTGGTGTTTGTGTTTAGGTTGAAAACTTGCTGCAGTGTTCCTTTGCCCTATTCTGGTGAACACCTCCTGGTGTCAAACCTGCCCTTGAATCTGTATCCCTGCCTATACATCCCTGGAATAATCAGGATCTTTATCTTCCTGCCTGAATTTCCCATCCTCACCCTTTCCCATTTGTGCTTTGCTCCAGACTCAGGATGAGTTCTAAATTTTTTACCTTAGGCAAGTCTCTTAACTCTCTGAGCCTTGACTACCTAATCTGTAAAATAGACTAGTGAAAGTGCCTTTGAGATACAAGTATAAAAAATTCCTGGTTCATGTGAAACTCCCCATGTGTTTATTTAACAAATATCTATTGAGTACCTACTGTGAGCCCAGTGCTGTTCTAACAAGTAGAGATGCAGTGGGGAACAGATCAGACAAGTCCCTGCCCTCGGGGAACTCATAGGCATGGATTAAGATCTTCACTGACCCAGCTTCACAGATGCTGAGGAGTTAAGCGATGAAGTCGAGTGAACAGTTTTGTGATCCTGAAAGAGAATGCACCATCAAACCTAAGGCAGAAACGCCTCCAGGAGGTGGGAGATATTCTTGGTAGTGTAGAAGAGCCTGTCACCCTCTCATTAATTATCCCCATCCCTACCCTCCCAGCTCCAGGGAGTGTGGGAGTAATTGCAGGGCAATCATGGTCCTGCCTCAAGGGACGCTGAGTGATCCTAGAATGAGGGAGTTAGGCTGTGCAGTGCTAGAGTCATGCTGATTCAGGCTGTGGGTGTCTTGGGGCAGTGGCAGCCACCAAGAGTTTCAGCTACCACTGAGAACTGAGACCAGGACACTCTCACAAGATGGGGATACCAGGTTCAAAATGATGCCCTTCAGAAATGGCAAGGAAGCCCTCCTCCTAGACAGCCAAGAGTCCTGGGTTCAAGTGTCAGCACTTAAGATGTGACCTTGAGAAGGGACTTCCTTCTCTGGGTCTCTTCCTTTCCCTGTCAAGTGAGTAGAATGTCACTGTCTGGTGTTGATGCATTCAAGTGGAGGCCACACTTATGTGGCGGGCTCTCTGCTGCAGGTCAGCTACTGGGATATGAGCAAGGCAGATGTACTTGCTGCCCTGGTGGATTATATTCTCTGGAAGTAGAAACTGGCATTGACCAAACAGAAGTGAAAATTTCTGTGATGAGCTGTGAAAAGTGTGGTGAAGGGAAATGTTTGGGAACAATGGGGATGTGTCAGAAGGTCCTGATCTAGTTTGGGAGGCCAGGGGAGGCGCCCCTGAGGAAGAGAAATTTCAAGCCATTCTTGAAGATGGGTAGGAAGTGGGAGGATGAAGAGGGAGGGGAACTGTGGAGGCAGTGAGAACAGCAGGTGCAAAGGCCCCTGGTGGACGGAAGCATTATATGGTAGAGAAACCAAAGCAGGTCCACATATGTGGTGCAGCACACACCACAAGTTTCTCATAAACATCAAAAGAGAGAATGACAGTAAAGGTGCTGAGGGCCTCGTAAAGCAATGCATAAAGGGTGAGGGGTGGACAGAGACACACAAAGAGGGTGTGTGTTAAAATGCATGCCAAGCCTATACACACAGTCTTATCAGTTCTGTAGCTGGACAGTCTGGTCCTGGCAAACGGTCCTCAGAAGATTCTTTGGTTTGTTTGTTTGTGTTTTAATTGTGATGTGATGCCTTTCTGATGGACTTTAATTGGGAAAAGTCTGACGTCTGTCTGAAGGAAAACTTCCAGAGTCTCATGAGACAAGAGCAAGTTTTCTATTATTTATTTTAAATTCTGTTGCATGCTCAGTCTTTCAACTGTTTTTGTAAAGATGCCAGATTTCTAATCTGTCTGTTATCCAAACCCTTCATTTGGGCTTCACCAGGAAATTAGGCCACTGAGTTTTGTGCAGCAAAATAATAGCTAACATGCTGCAGGTTCAAGACAGAACTCACACTGAAATCACAAAGCTGACAGTTGCAGGACCAGTGGGAATTTTCTTCAACTCCAAATGTCATTCATGAAATAGATTTTGCTCTTGTTCTAAATGTGCCTGCACCCAAAAAAAAGAGATAGATTCTTTTTCTCCCCTCTGTCTATACCAAATGTCACACTCTGCACCCCATTCCAAGAACCTGTGACATTAATCCTATAGACATGTGATCAGCTGCAGATTTTAAAACTGTTCTCTATTACCATCCTATATTCAACTTCAACCCACCAGGCAGGAAACCACTTATGAAATAGTGGGAACCCTACAAAAGTATTGTAACAAATTATGTCAACAATTAACATGATAATAGTAATAAAAATAATAAAATGTCATTGTCATCCAC